CCGGCCGACCGCTTCGTCGCATGTGCAAGTCAGTGTGTGCCAACTCGAAGCGCTGCGGCAATCACACAACGTACTTACTGCGATCCAAGGCAATCGCCGCGCATCAATGCGGCTGAAAAGTAAGATTGATACTGGCCTTCACCCAACATTTAGTGTACATCTTAGGCAGGTTCACTATTCACTGCCTGATTCACACGTGAATTATTTGCAATTCTGGTCCATCTGAGCCTCGTGCCATGCCAGCCGCTATAACGGGTGACTGACTTGAATAATTCACGGTCCTCATTCACTCATCATTTTTATCCTGTATCCCGGAGCGTGAGAAGTTCCGTTGACTTTCTCTCGTCTGCATTTGCCATGTGCGTCTTTCCCGTCTTTGCCTTGATCTTGAAACTTGAATGCACTGATATCGTCGTTTTCCTTGAGGCATACACAATGTACCTGAGTTCCGCACCATACACGATCTACTGATTGTATTTATGAACACCTTGGATTTAGAAAAGGCTAGTCACATTGTGGACACACATTCACTCTAATGAAGACAGTGCTACGTATGCAATGCAAATAACATCATTGGCATTTCCATCACGTTTTATCTTGGTTCAATCACCGTCGTATACCATCATTGCATATATCAATATTGATAATATTAATAATTATATTAGCAGATTCGGCTACTAAGTCATGTGTTGGAATCCGGTACTAGTATTCCAAGCAAAAGTTCATCGTCTTTAAAACTCGTCCAGTCGAGGTACGGGTTGATTGTCTTGGTGTGCGTCACACTTGCGTGCGAGGAAGTGCGTCCGAGTGTGTGTGTATGTGTGTGTGGGGGGGGGGGGGGGCTTACTAGTACATGCAAGAGTACATGAAACTCTCATGTGCTCATTGTGCGCTATGGCTCCGTGGTGTACCATGGCAACTGCGTGTGCGTATCAGTGTTATTGTGAGGGAGCGTGTGCCAGTGCACATGCGCATGTTCCCGCGTTGACACATGTGTGCACACGTTGTGTGTCAGCCGGCATGCACAGGCTTTTTTCCGTGCAAGCGAGCTTGCAAATGGTGATGTCCCTCCCCGAATACGATTATTAATCAGTGGATTATCAACTCACATGTACATGTACTGTGGGCTGATATTGATGGGCTGTATGATAGTAGCTCAAGTGCACGATATGTGAGTTTGTGTTGTGCTCTATGACAGTGTGTGAGTGCGTGTGCGTGTGTTTAGGAGAGGAATTATTAGTTCATAATACTTCAAAGTAATTAGTATTTCTCAAACGTCTGGTGAATGACCGTCTGCCTTGGCGCTGCATGCTTCTGTCCTGATCTGATATCTGTCTCAACACCAGCATATCTCTGTCTCCTTTTCTCTCACACTGATACAACCAAGCCATTGGTGTGCCAAGCCGTGCAACTCTGTCTCTCTGTAACTCTCTCTCTCTCTGTCTGTCTCCGTCTGTCTGTCTGTCTCTCTCTCTCTCTCTCTCTCTCTCTCTCTCTCTCTCTCTCTCTCTCTCTCTCTCTCTCTCTCTCTCTCTCTCTCTCTCTCTCTCTCTCTCTCTCTCTCTCTCTCTCTCTCTCTCCGGGCTCTCTCTCTCCGGGCTCTCTCTCTCTCTCCGGGCTCTCTCTCTCTCTCCGGGCTCTCTTTACCGGGCTCTCTCTCTCTCTCTCTCTCTCTCTCTCTCTCTCTCTCTCTCTCTCTCTCTCTCTCTCTCTCTCTCTCTCTCTCTCTCTCTCTCTCTCTCTCTCTCTCTCTCTCTCTCTCTCTCTCTCTCTCTCTCTCTCTCTCTCTCTCTCTCTCTCTGTATCTTTCTCTCTCTATCTATCTATCTATCTATCTATCTATCTATCTATCTATCTATCTATAAAACAGAGAGGTTCCAGGCTGTCCAAGAGAGTGCTCAATACCGAGTGGTAGAGCTGGTTTTTATATATCTATCTATCTATCTATCAATCTATCTATCTATCTATCTATCTACAAAGTGTCTGAAGTCCTTGCTGCAATCTATCAATCACTCTATCTATATTTCTCTCTCTCACGCACGCATGCACGCATACACAAGCGTGAAAGCACTGTCCTTCTCTCCCCCATCATGCACATACCTATGCTTCTTCACAACATGGCCAGAAAAAGCCACTTCAATCAGCTGTGTGGTGGATACCAGGCTAGAATTAGTGGCGGTCAATTCATCAGCCTTGCAAGCTGTTGAATGGTGTAATCCCAGCACTAGTTGCTATGTCTAACATACATGTAGCAGTTCGCTATCATTGCTTCTTCGATGGGTAGGTTTGAGGTGAGGTGAGGTGTACATGTGTGTACATGTGTGTGTGTGTGTGTGTACGCATGTTCCATTGGAATTCATCTAGCACGAACCACCACAAGACACATCTCATCATGTGACCCCAGTCTAGTATGCGAGCGAGAATTATTTGTTGGCATGCCTGCACTTCGAGATGAGCTCACTTCTCTTGTTGAGGCATGTTTCTCTATCCGAGGAACACAGCCGACATTCAAGACCCGGTACGAAAACCACAAGTGCTCATTCAACCACGAGCCGAGAAGGAAGAGTAGCGAGCTATCCAAGTGCATGTATGTCTGGAAATTGAAGAAGAGACAGGAAGAATACTCGATCCAGAGGAGCATTTCGGAACGAGCACGAGCCTACAGCAACATCAGCAAGAGGTGCCAACTTTGCCTCTCGGAGTAGTTCCGGATCATAACTGTCTGGCTCCTAACATAACCTCCATCATAATAATTATATTGCTGAGTTTAAAGGAAATCTGCATAAAAGGATGACTACGTTTCAATTCAACTGCAAAGGTATTCACTGATAATCCTTGTTTTCCTCATTGATCTGCTCACATCAGTGAATATCAAATACCCTAGTTCTTACTAATTGTTCTATTTATAGTAAAGAAAAAAAGGACCAAGAAACTACAAGTTACGCTGTAATGTCCACTAACACCACCAGTTACTAAACAATCAGCTCATGCGATAACAATGCATGACACTGACTGGTCCTTTTTCTCTTTACTATAAATTTACCCTTAGCTCTTCCTCCTTGACCATAGTTGTCCTATTCTTCGTGTTATAATAACTTGCTATTTTCACCTGCTCTGATCACAGTCTTTGCATTCTCTCAACTGTACAGAAGTGAAGACCCCCTCGATAGGCCTAAACGGCCGCTGACTGGGGAATCCTTGAAATAAATTTTACATTACGTCATCTTCATCTCTACCACTGAGCGAAACCTTACACATCCTTGGCGAAACAATTGCAAATTTTCTGAGGAAAAGAACGACGAATGTTTTCAGTAGAAATCTTGAAAAACTAGAAATGCCATACACACTGTAGAATATTATGTATTTGTACATGTATGAGGGATTTGGAGACAAACTGACAAAGGTCTTATCATTGCGATTCAAAGTTTTTTAACGAAAGAGATATTAGAACGTTCAAACAAAAAATCTTTTCTCATCGTTCTACAATGTTATGAATTAGGAAACGTGTACCGAAACATGTGTTAACATTTTGAGTTTTTTTAACCCAGAATTACTCCACAAGAATGTGCAGGCAAAAATGGGGACTAGGTGCGTGCATGCCTGTGTGTTTGTGTGCGAAAACGTATACAATCATGTGCATGTTTATACATGGGCGGATGTGTGTGTACATGAACATGTACATGTATGTGTGTGTTTGTGTGTGTGTGAGTGTGTGCGTGTGTGTGTTTTTGTGCGTGAGTGTGTGTTTTTGTGTGGTGTGTGTGTGTGCGTCTGTGTGTGTGTCTGTGTGTGTGTTTTTGTGTGGTGTGTGTATGTATATGTGTGTGCGTGTGTTAACGCGCTTGCGGGAAGGGGCTTGCAGTGGGTTTGATCTGTCAGCGATAAAGTGAACTCTAATCTAGCGATGCAGCAAGGACACCTAAACTAATCTACATTATACATGTACATCTTAATAATCGTCTTCAAAAAAAAGAAATGGGCCAAAGGGAAAAGAAACTGAAGATTATAAATTTTCCGCTGCGAACATACACTGTACATGTACATGTACATGTGCACACATACAGGAACATGACTTTGTACTTGCACATTGTACACGTAACTCGTACAATATACCATGCTGAACATTCACTCCAGGATAATGTACAATATACCATGCTGAACATTCACTCCAGGATAATGTACAATATACCATACTGAACATTCACTCCAGGATAATGTACAATGTACATGTACATGTATGCTGAGAGTGGTACAGGTTGCTAGCCGTAGCCTGGCTTCACAGATGTCTCCTGTACGGGAAGTGGCGGCCCAGGCGGAGCTGTAGATTCATCAGGATGCTTTTCCATCGGTGTTGAATGCAGAGCATAGCACACTGGTGCTTGATGCTTTTCAGGAGACTCCGTGCACTCAGCTATGAGTGGACCTGTAAACACACACACACACACACACACACACACACACACACACACACACACACACACACACACACACACACACACACACACACACACACACACACACAATCATTTTCTCTCTCTCTCTCTCTCTCTCTCTCTCTCTCTCTCTCTGTCTCTTTTTTCTTCCCTCTTTGCTACCTTGTAAACGGGAAGAAGTTCCCGTTTGGATTTTGCGAAGTAACACAAAGTAAAACAAACAAACACACACACGCGCAAGGTTTCGAGTACTAAAACATTAGTGCTCCCTGGTAGACAGTATGCGGTTTGTCATACCTGTCCGGAGACCGTAGGATGGATATCCTGTCCCTAGCCGATCAAGCAGCTGTCCGATGACGACATCTTTCGCCATGTTCTCCCGACACAGGAGCACGATCAGCTCCCTGTCCTGGGCGAGTCGCTTCTCCAGGCGATTGTTCCTCTCTATTAGAGCTGTGATTCTTGCTTCGAAAGGAGTGCACGTATCGCTGAGGCCAATTTCCGTGGTCATGTTCACTCAACCTGCGCAATGAAAACTACAGTAAACAACAGACCACTATGCTTTGTAATAATGCTCAAGAGTTACACTAGCGGAAGTAAAATACAATATAGGGCTTTTTCGTTGTTACTCTGAGTTTCATGGCAAAGACCAATCATCAGGCAACATCTGATCAGACGCACTGCCTCTGCACAATTTAATAATTTAAACTCGAATGTTGAGCCAATAGTAATATGTAAAGAGAAATGGACCTACAGTACATGTACACTCATACCTCGTTTATCCGGGCAGTCCGGGACCTTGCACTGCCCGTAACTTTGAAATGTCCGTAACTCCGAATCATATAAATTGTACATCTTGATGGGGAAAAGGCCATAATAAACATGGCATGTGACAGAACATGGCATGTGACGTCACTTTTTCCACACAAAGTGACAAAGGAGTAGTAATATTTCCACTGAAACTTGCCCCCAGGGTGCCCGGTAGACCGAAGTGCCCGTAACTTCGGGGTCCGGATAACCGAGGTATGAGTGTACATGTATAAGTTACTAGCTATGATTTCTAAGGTCCGCCGATGCCTACTCGCTCTGCCTTGTTGAGGAGGCCGACGTGAGAGACGTGGTCAAACGCACCAGCAATATCAATCGCTACTACTGGGACGCAGCTCCCTCAGCTACAACCTGCACCCACTCGCTTTGGACGTTTTGATGAATCGCATTTCTTCCCCTCTTCACATGTACATGTACGTATTGTGTGACTCATGCACTGCCACCATCAATTCCAATGGAGACGCGAGATAGGACTTACCTTGAAGTAGCATGGTGTCGGTTGGTCAGAAATATAGGCAGTACTGCTGTTCAGACGTCCGGTCATATACCGGTACTAATACTACTGACTACTAGTATCCTCGTGGTTCAGCTGATAATAATGATGGGATCGCGAATCGCCAGATTGATCCCAGATCGTCCCGTTTACTTTAGGGATTTCGACGAACGTTCTACTGTAACTAACTTCTAACTAAGACGGTAACTGGGACTTGTGTCCAGATCCACCCCTTTTTATCTTTTCTGAAGAAGGGCATCGCCGTACATGTTAGTGTAGTGAAAGACCGGTTGCAGTGCAGAGGGCATTCTGGCACGCTGACGCAATGCATGCAGCGCCAGTCAGTGAAGACAGGCAGTGAGCACGTGAGTGCAGTCCACACTGGAATTATTTATTTCCTGCCAGACAAAACAATGGGACAGTTCATCAGGCGAGAGCTAGGCTGAAGTCTGAAGAGCGCATTGTGCCGTGGACCGAAGAATGCTAGACATGGACGAAGAAGCTCAACCGCACTAGATGCTGGCCGCTTGACAACAGCCTGCTCTGCCTCTGCGTTCGTGTGCTTTGAGGTTGACACCCTGGCACGATCCCGCTTTGCACTACAACCCGTCTTTCACTACACTAACATGTACGGCGATGCCCTTGTTCAGAAAAGATAAAAAGGGGTGACAGCTCTGATGACATCTCTTGAAAACAGTGTGTCATGAGACTCATGATTCATGAAGACAAGGTTGTTGGGGACAACTCACAACTGCCAAAAATGGCAGTTGTGAGTAGTCCCCATCAACCACCATGACGATTGTCTTCATGAATCATGAGTCTCATGACACACTGTTTGCAAGTGTCGACGCGACATGTCCTGTACTAATACGTCACCCACTTGTTTATACGCAGTATGGCATGCGCTCTATTTCTTTTCTCGCGGCAGGCAGATGGAACTCTCTTCCAGCTGACTGTCGACAGACCCACTCTCTTGCTCTGTTCATTAACATGGTTGAAGGGACACTCCGGCTTCATTTTCGACGCCGAGTTTTCGATGCCAAGACGAAGGTAGGTGAAAGAGAAAAACCCTCGAACAAGAACGAGTCTCCAGAAGCGATAGAGTCGAGCAGGAAGACGACTTTTGAATTTCGCCGAGCTAGCGCTGATGACGTAATGAGGGATTAGCTTGTCAGTGGAAATGCAACTGGGCACATACATTTCACATACTTTTTGGCCAATTTTCAATCGAAGAGGAGGGTGTTTTCTATGTTCTCTCAACGTCGTGAGCGATCCCGTCTTCTAAACCCTTCCAGGTACATGTACCCTGAAGGTCCTCCGGAGGAGAATTTATATCCAGCAAAGCGTTGTTGACCCGCTAAATACGTCTCGAGACATATTCACCCAGTGCTGACTATGTAGAATGTTGAATCTGTGATAATTGTCGACGATGGAGCGAGAGGTTGATAGCCGCCGTCGCAGGGAGAGTGAAGCTGCTGGAAGTAAAAACTGGGAGCTTAACTTAAAGGGGGACTACACCCAAAAATCAAAACTTCATGGTCCGTAGAGTTTTGGACGCTGAGTCGAATGGTGAAGGTCCCACTTCGATCCGACCAAGCGTTCCTGAGATATCTTCGGTTTAAATTGTACTTTTGGGGACGCGCCATGACGTCATGCGGCCGCGACACCCCCCCCCCCCCCCCCCCAAAACGCCCTTCTACGTCATTGAGACTAGCATGCTTGGGCCAAGCTCAGAAGTACAAGTATTTTGGTATGTGAAAGGAATAGTTCTGACAAAGACGTCCTCACCATGAGCGATTCCGACCTATCAGACGAGCTTGAAAGCTTAGAGCCTGAGCTGAAAATGTTTGGCTTATGGCATGAGCCCAAATATTCAGGAGAGGATATGGCAGCGCAAGCGGTGGCTTCCATTCGGGCTGTAAATGTGGATGAAGCAGAAATGACTGCAATTGGAGAAGTCGCTCTCCATCAGCAACATCTGGCGACCGGTTGGCTGGGCTATTTCGAAATGAAGCGGCAGACCAAAGCAGGTCAGACAAGCCTGACAATCCGTAAGTGTGTTCCCAGTATAGTCCTACGTAAAAATCGAATCGTTCTCTTCATATCGTAAATTGTGTGAAATTTTGTATTCGCACAGTACTCAGATCAATAGTCTCCTCACACGTACTCCTGTACATGGAGTTTGCTGCGTAACATGACTAGCATTATCTCCGTGCAAGTCGTGCAATGTGTATCGGTTCACTTGTGCTTTATCTCACATAAGTGAACTGCACCTCAATTCGTAGTGTGGCGAAATACATTCTCACCTTTTGCATTATCACTTAGTCTTTACAGAATGCTGAGACGTTCTCTTGTATTTCACGTAGCTGTGTACCAACAATTACGCTGTGCACTCTAGCAGCAGCAGCAGCACAGTAGCATATTGAGTGCGTTTTGCCCTACTGTGGTGTCTCATGACTGCATTACCGGAACAACTCTTTCCTTGATTATCATTCTAAAATGTGTGCACATATCCGCCTGCGCCCCACACACACGCACGCACATGTGCTCACCTTGGTGGGCACAAAGTATAGTAGTCACACATGCTCACGCACGCAGACACGCAATTTCACAAGCGCGTGCGCACACGAGTGCATAAGCATACAAGTGCCTGTGCACATGCTCGTGCACGCACACATGCGCGCACTCATGCACTTGGTTGCATACCCACACATCCCTCAGGATCACTAACGGCAATGCATCTACTACTTGTCATTCCATGTCCCTCCCGCAAATGGGGAGAGAATGACATAAAGGAGAACACAGAATAGATGACGTGAATATCTTTGGAATGTTATATTACATTACACAAAAGCACACGCATGTGCGCGCACACACTCACGCAAGTGCGCGCACACACACACACTCACGTGCATGCGCGCGCACACACACTCAGTGTCACGCGCGTGCGCGCACACACACACACTCACGCGCGTGCACCCACACACACAATAATAATAATAATGTCTGTCTCTCACGCGCGTGCGTGCAAACACACTCACGTGCGCGCACGGGCGCGCACACGCACACACTCACGCTCGTGCGCGCACACACACGCGCGTGCGCGCTCACACACACACTCACGCGCGCACACACACACTCATGCGCTTGCACGCATACACACAATAATAATAATAATGTCTGGCTCTCATCTGCGTCCATACTGAGAAAACCCAACGAGTTCCCGAATAGGTGTACACCGTTGCCGGTATGTGGACTATCTTCTCTCCTTGAACTGCGGGTCATTGCGTGATGTAGCTTATCAGCAGTACATACTGTGTTCATACAGGGAAAAAAACATGCCAGCTAGAGGCGCTGGCGCTGCAAACAGTCCTTCCTATAACCTTGGGGCGGTGGCAGTGGTCGTAGCTCAACAGTGAGTCACTGCGACCGATGGTACAGCCGCTCTTGATCTTCTTCCTGTAAAATCAAAAACAGCAATCGCAGACAGGTTCATCGATCGCACGCAGTATAGCCTAGGGAAACAGGAGATCTACTGCCGTCCACCTCATCAGGCCGGTTTCGGAAAGCTTCATATTTCGTAGTGATGTAGTCCAAAACAATTCTACAAATGCTTTGGAAAAGAAAGAACTACATACAGGACTGTCAGTAGCTAGTGTTTTTGAAATATTGCACTCACCTCCGCTTTTCGACTGACACTTCACAGTGTGGCGTGCGAAAAAGGACGCACCACAGTTTCATCCACCAGCGTCCGCATCGGATGAGTGCATAATATTCCTCCTGAAAATCCTCCTCTGCCAAATGGCTGGAACACACGCGAAGGATTTACATTGTAGTCCCTAAATTGTCAAGCAAATAATTATGTCGCTTGATAGCTGCTATGGTGCACTGCTCGGCCTGTGCCAAGCACAATCCTTCAGAAATTGGTGCAGGTTCATCCCAGGGGGTTACCAGTAAGATTATAGTAGCCAACAACACAGCCAGAAGCCATGATGACACAAATACCCTCTTCTTCCATGGACAAACAGAAAGAAGATGCGAAATCCCAGTGTTTCTGGATCTGGCCAAAGGATCACCAAGTCTCAATGACGTCACGGATTTGTGACGTCACGCACGGACCTGAAAAGGACAATTGCAAACTGATATATCTCAAGAACGCTTGGTCGGATCGAAGTGGGACCTTCACCATTCGACTCAACGTCCAAAACTCTACGGACCATGAAGTTTTGATTTTTGGGTGTAGTTCCTCTTTAAAGCTGGCAGCTTGGGGAAAGGGCTAGTTGGCTTTCACGCGGCAACAAAATCACCAAACGTAAGTGTAGTATCCCTACCTTGCTAGTACTGAACTGTAGCTGACTACTAGTACTACTAGTACTACATCTATATCTACTGACCTCTAATCATGTCACATGTACACGTACACGCACTGCATGACTCTTGTCACTCCTTTGCTGACAAGCCTGCAAAGCTAATCACTTCTCACCACTTGTGTTGCCCTTGCGCTTGCTGGATTGCATACTACATATCTTTGCTAGTTTAGATCATCAAACCTGCATGTACATGTAGAACTAACACCCACATGTTGTACTGTACCTCCTTGACCCTGACTGAGGTCATGCGGCAGTCATGACCCTTTCTAGATCCGGTTTGCATCCATTTGCTAATGCCCTCCCTGGCCTCTGTTCTCCTCCAAAGTTCCGTTTGCTTCTTTCATCCTTATACATGTACATTTAGATACTGTTGCTATGCCTTCCCAAGTTCTGTTTCGACTAACACAACAGACTTTTGCCCTTTTTCATGACTCATGGCTCATGCAGACTCTATGATGATCTCCTTCCTTTTCGCCCTATAAAAGCTGCCATGCTTTACTCATTTCTTCAGAACATAACAGAACAGAACAGAACAGAGTCCGTCCTGGCAGATTGAGCCGGAGCAGTTGTATTCCTTTCCAAGTCCCTCCTGGCAGATTGAGCCGGAGCAGTTGTATACATAACTTCAGGCAGATTGAGCCGAAGAACATAATATTAAGGGGGCAGCCTACCCATAAATTTCATATGGCATTCAATTGACCGTAACTTTGGTGTTTCTCAATGGATTTGAGTGAAATTTTGACCACACACTCCTGCCACTATGCTGGCCCTCAGGACAAGATTTACAAGTTCTTGCGCCTCACCGACAGGCTTTCCAGGCCGGAAAAACTCAAATTTCCGGCATAGTGCCA